GTAGCCATGGCAGGGCTGCTGTGGGAAGCCCTGCTGAGGCTTTCCATGACCCCTTGTTCTGGGACACCTCTGTGTGGCACAGCTTTCCCTGCTCCATCACGAGCAGGGCTGGCTGCAGCTCTGCAGGCTGGAACATGTGTTTTACAACAAACCCTTGCAGACATCATTTGGGACTGTCTGTAGCTCGCTCTAAAAGATGTTTTAAGACTTTGCTTTGTTTTAAGACTTTTGATCTTCCTGTAAGCTCAGCCTCTTAACTTTTAGAATTTATTGGGATTTGGTTTCAGCTGTGTAAGACCACTGGTTGCTTTTTGGTCTGGATTTTTACACTGGGAGCCAGCTGATGGGTCATCCTTTGGGACATTGGGGTATTTGTGATTATTTTTAGCCTTTAATTGGCAGTGATCTGTACTTGGAGCTGCAGAGTGTCAAGGGCTTTTCTCTTTGTGCTCTCAAGAAGCTTTCCCTTCTCTTTCATCTGGATGCAGCTGTGTTTCCCTTCTGCTCACAGAGCACAAAGTACATGGGGAAACCAGCTCCAAGAACCATCCCAAAGGCTGGTGGGGCTCAGGGAGCAGCACCCAGGGCTTGGCTGCTCCAGGACACCTGGGCCCTGTTCCGAGCAGCACCATGGACCTGCTCTCTGACCTTCACCAGCCACTTCCCTGCTCCAGGCTGCTGGTTTTTTCCTCTTCTTCCCCTCTTTTGTCTTGCCCCGTTTAGCTGTAACCTCTTTCGGGCAGGAACACGGTGTGTGTGTTCATATAAAGGGCTGAGAACAATGTGGCCCAGATGGTTTGTACAAGTGCCTTCTCAGCAGCCACAGGGTTTCATTCTACAGGAAAGAAATTCTTAAAAATACAACTCTACAGCATCTTATACTTGCAAATGTGGGCAGGAACTTCCCGAGCCTTGATATTTTGGTCCGTGTCACAGAGACAAGGGGTAGCACTAGAACTGTAGCTTTTCTTCTTTTAAGGAAAAAAAACAACTCCCCCCAACCCCAATTCTCCTTTTCTCACCATTACATCTGCAGGGAAAAACTTATAAATGTGACTGGAGCAGCTCTGACCTGCTTAAAACCAGATGGCAAAGAAAAAGGACCCAATGTTTCAGCAAAAGCACTGTGAACTCCCTCTTTGAGAATCAGAGGGTGTGTGGGCTTGCCCTGTTTTTATGGCACTTCCAGTGCTTCTGAGGTTCTGTTTTGGGGTGCTGAGGCACTTGCAGTTGCCTGCAGTTTGTTTCCCTTCCAGGATCCCTGGCTCAGAGCACTGGCACTGCAAACACCACAGGGCACTGCTTATTTGCTTTAAGACCACAGCTTGCTTTGGAATGTCTTCTGCCAAATTTCAGGACAATTCTTTTTTTTTTTTCTTTATTTATCCCACTCCCTCCCAAAGAGAGAAACAAGTTTTCTTAGTCTCATCTTGCATCAGATTTGATTCCAGGCCAACAAATCCAGCCTAGAAGGTGCTTTCCTGAGGCTGCTTGCTTTGCTGTGACCTTTTGGGAGAGGATTCCTGTGCAAAACGGAACATTGTGAAATCAGTTTTATACAGGGAATCTGCCCCCATGCTGCTGCTGCCTGGGGAGGATGGATCAGGTCTGGGTCCCTGTTGCCTGTCCAAAGGCTGCTGTGTTTTAACAAACACAGGGGTTTTTTGCTCTGGAGCAGTGGGAGTCCTGGGATTTTACCAAAAGTTTCTGTTTCTAATTAGGTTGTTCTCAATTTTAAAGGCCAGTGATCCTTTTATGGCACAGGGTGGAAAACCTGAACAGTCACTGACACTGCACAGAGGTGGGTCCTGCTTTTGTCCCGAGGTCCAGGGAGCCACTGTGTCTCCTTGGCACTCCTGGGATGAGAAAATAAATTCCTCCCAGCCCTTGGCTCACCCACGGGGGAGGCTGGTGGGCAGCGTGAGGGAGCATCACTTGCGCTGGTCTGACTCACATGGATTTGGTTCAGGGACTTCCTGCTGCTCTGACTGCCCAGCTTGGGAAAGGGGGAATTGCAGCATGGCAGTCCCAGCGTGGGGGGCTGGGCTGTGGCCTCTCTGGGTGTGAATCTGGCCCAGCTGCCTGAAATTGGAGTTTGGTGCTGGGCCCCTCCAGGAGAGCTGCTCCTGAGGCTCTGCAGGCAGGACCGGGGCTGTGCTGTGCTGCTCCTTGCGTTTGCCTGGGCTGGGAAAGGGCAGCACAGTCTCTCTGTGCTCACAGGAAACAGGATTTAATTTTTCCCTTCTGCATCACTTCATTGTCTGAAATTCCCTTGCAGAGGCTGGCCCATAACTCTTCAAAGAAAATAATCCCAAGCGCCGGGGCTGGAGCTCCCTGAGCTCTGGCTGTCGGCCGCCTGACTCTGTGCAAACAGTCTGGGCCTGGAATCCCCTGGGACTGAGCATAAAGGTCTGATTCAGAAGCAAAACAGGTTATGGAGCTGCAGCAGGGCCTGTGCATCACCAGCTGCTCCCCTTCCCCAGCGTGTGGCTGGAGCCGTGTCCAGGGAAAGCGGCTCCCGAAACGCCAGGCGAGAGAGAGCTGCTCGCTCTGGGAGCTGGGAGACCCTGGGGGAATGGCTCCAGTGTCCTGAGGAGGTGGGAGAGGCATGAGGAGGTCGGGAGGGCAGCACCATGTGCTGAACCCGGAGCGGAAATCATTGGGGGAGCGAAGAATGAGCAGGATGTCACGTGCGGGCCGAGCGCGCTCGGGGCTGGGGCAGAACAAAGCGCAGGGAAGCCCTGCTCCTGCCGCTCCCACCCCGCTTCCTGCTGGCACGGACACGCTGCTGGGGGAAGGGAGCACCAGGGCAGAAGCCAGCCCGTGGCTGCCCAGCTTTGGGAGAGCGGGAAGGCTCCCTGTGCCTCAGTTTCCCTCGGCTGAGGTGTGCTGCGTGCAGCAGGATGGTCTCTGGTTGTTGGTGTGTGGGGGTGGCCTCGGAGAGCCAGGCTGCTGTGCTCTAGGGATGCTCCAGATATGTTGGATGGAGGCTGGAGCCTGTGGGGGCAGGAGGGGGGCTCCCATGATGCATGAAAGCCTTATTCTCCTGTGCTTGAACAGGCAGGTCCCACAGGTGGCACCCAGCACGCTGTGCCTTCAGAGCTGCTCTGGTCCCTCCTGGAGAGCAGTGGCAGTGTGCCAGGATGCTGTGGAGAGTGAGGATTCAGTGTCAGGAGGGGGCTGGGAGCCCCCCTGAGGGGCTGTCCTGCCCCTGGACCCTCACACAGCCAGTCCTTCCCCCTGCTGAGCTCTGGCTTTGGTGTCTTTTTTCCTGGGCTGCTCTTAGAGCTCCCACATTTCCCTCTGTGTACCCTTGAGCATGAGAAGCTTTTTTTTTTTTTTTTGTTATTAATAGCTATTGAGAGCCAGTAAAAAGTTTTATGGGGTTTGGCCAAGCATCAGAGCTCACAGTGTGTTCATTTCCTGGAGCTGGAGGGGGGGTTTGCTTGGATAACCCATGGGGTCAGCAGGAGTCTGTGGCCCTGGGGGCTCTTGGGAGGCTTTCAGTGGTGTGACAGGGGCCTGGAGAGGAGCAGAGAGAGATGGGGAGGGGGCAGGGTAAAGGAGGGGTAGGAGGATGCCAAGGGTCAAGCTGGGAGCAAAACCAGAGCTGGGGGAGAAATGGAGGTGTGGGTCTCTCATGTGCCCTCCCAGCATGTGCCTGGATCCTGCTTGAGCCCCTCTGTCCATGTTGAGCTTCCTGACTGTCCTTCCTGCCTCCCACACGGGCACCCCTGCAAGGAGGAGCCCAGCCTGACCTCCCCCAGTGCAGGGGAGTCCCACTCTGGTGCAATGCTGGAGGGACAGAGAGTGCAATTCCCTCTTGGGCACCTGGTTCCTCAAGCACAGAGCAGGTCCATGGCTCTTTTCATCCCAGTCTTGTGTCCAGAAGGAAGCAAGGCTTTGGTTGGCCTTGGCGTTGGGTTGTTGTACCCACGTGAGGACAGGCAGCTGCACAGGATGTGTGTGGAGCCATGTCATGGAATCATGGAATATTTGGGTTGGAGGGAACTTTAAAGGTCACCTCATCCAGCCCTGCCATGAGCAGGGCTGTGCACACGAGAAGGAGCTCCCTGGTTTGGGGGCTGAGCTGATTCCTGCCTGTCTGTGGGAGCTGAGGGGAACCCAGATAACCCCACAGTAGCACGGGGCTTTCCAGCAGCCTCACTGGGAGCACACAGGGCAGGCAGGGTGCTGCACCCCTGAGCAAACAGGCTGCCATGAGCATCATTTGCTCTGGCCAGTGTCACAGCATTGGCCCAGGCCGCAGCCAAGGGGCCTCACTCCCAGCTTTGCAATTAAAATCAAAGTTGGTTGATAAGAGCAGAGGAGGAGGCAGTGGGATGTTAGTAAGTTCCTGTTCGCCAAGTGGGTGTTTCCCCCAGCCCAGGTGGGCTCTGGTGGGCGCCCTGAGTGTGGCTGTTCCCCAGGAGCCGTGTCCTGGGCAGGGCTGCTGGCACAGGATCCTGGCTCACCACTGCAGAGGTTGCTGCTGGAGTGGGAAGTGCTCCAACTCCACTGGCCTCTGCCCCTGGATCCACTGGGAGCCTCCCAGCCAGGTGAAATCATCTTCACTCCATGGGCAGCCCCATGCCTGGCATGGTGTGCCTGTAATGCTGGGTTCCTGTGTGTCCTCTGCTCCTGGGGACTGTCAGAGTCCCTGGCTGGTGCCTCTGAATGCTTCCCAAAGCTGCCAGCAGCCCTCCCCCATGGGGACAGTTTTGTCCCCACAACACTCTTGCCTGGCTCCAACATGGAGGCACTCATTAACCATTTCACCTCTGGCTGACCAAGCTTTTTTAAAATTCATTTGTTTGTTTATTTAAACAAACATCTCAGGCGTGGGGCACTCTGGAACCTGATGTTTATCCCATCTTCTCCCACCCCTCAACTGCAGCACTGTCATTGCTGTAGGAACTACCTGTCTGCAGGGAAGGGACTCTGAGGAACCCAGAGCCCACAGCCCTCTGTTGTCCTCTGCCTTCTCATACTGATTTTCTGCCTCTCCTTTTGCACAGCTGGGACACCGAGGAGCTGCGCTGGGAGGACCCTGTCTGCAGGATGTTCTCTCCACCAAAGAACTCCCAGTGACCGGCGATGATGACAGTCCCGGCGGGACCTTGGGGAGCACTAACATTTCAGTAGCCCAGCACCCGTGGACGGCCTCTTACCCCTCCTTCTCCAGACCCCGCCCTCCCAGCGCTCACCGGGATGGTCTATTAACCAAGAGGAACCCTGCTTCTTTCCTCCTCACCCTTCCATTTTCGGCAGCTCTGGGATTTGTATGGCAGCAGCGTAACCGTGGAGAGGCCGGGGTATCACAAACTTATGGATTTTGATAAGAGAGGAGGGAAAGGGGAGCTGGAGGAAGGTAAAAGAATGTCCAAGACAGGTGGAGGAAGGAGTGGTCATGGAGGCCGGGGTGCTGGAACCAACTCGGGAGTCTTAATGGTGGGTCCCAACTTCCGTGTCGGCAAGAAGATTGGATGCGGCAATTTCGGGGAGCTCCGTCTAGGTGAGAAGGGTCATCTCTGTCCTCACTGTACCCACTCCTGCCAGGATTGCCCTGCCATCCTCCTCCTGCAGCAGGAGCAGCTGGCACAGGCTGTGGCCATGGGCGCTGGGGTGCTGACCGGCCACACAGAGTGGAAGCATTGCCCCTTGCAGGTAGCCCTTGTTCTGTCACAGAGGTTCCACTTCCTTCATCCTTTCGCACTGTGCTTGATCTACCAAGGCCCATCCTAGCCCAAAGGACTGATTGCAGAGGTGTTTCCCATCTCCTTCCATGCCTGCTGCTCTCTGGCTCTGTCAGGGAGAACGCTACAGGCTGGATCTGTCTGTTGTAAGCGGTGTTGGCCACAGACATCTGGGTGTCCCCCAAATTCAGGAACACTGAACAAGGAAAGATGCGGGAGATGCCACTGTGTGCTCACCAAATCTCACCCCACTTGTGCTCTGGGTGTGCCTCAGGACAGGGGATGGAGCATGGGGGCCTGAGGGATGTTCACTCTGCTGGGACAAGCGTCTAGGGAAGAGAATCCATGTTTTATCCTGGGTAAATTCTTCAGTTGTTGAAACTGGTTGTTTGAGAGACTCTCCTGAAATTCTGTGCAGGTCAGAGAAAGGGGGGAATAAAGCATATTCCATAGTCACTTTCCATTTTGAACCAGGTTTATCAGGAAACCCCTCAAGCAAACTCCTTCATGGAGGGTGGGGAGGTTGCTCCTCTCTCAGGACTGGGAATGTCCCTGGAGACTTTGAAGCTGTTAACCCTTTGCTTGGCATCAGGCAGCTGGGAGCGGTCTGGCAGGGCCAGGCACCTCTGCGCCAGCAGCACAGTCTGGACGTCTCCAGGAATGTGTGGGTGGAGTCCCTGCCAGCTGTAGCGCTGTCCTTGGCTGTGAGTGCTTTGGGAAGGGGCTTGTGCTCTGGGAAGAGGGAAGAGAGTCGGTCCCCAGAGCCTGTGACAGCCACAGGCCTTGTTGCTCTATGATATTTTAAGCAGCGCCTTCTCAAACCGAGCTCTGAGCTAAACCTGCTCTGAGCTAAACCTGCCCTGACCATGGGCCTGGGGAGGAGCTGTGGCAGCCCTGGCTGGGGTGAGGTCAGTTCCCACCTCCCTGTGTGGGGAGTTAATGTCAGCTCTTCCCGGCGTGACAGACTGGCTGGTGCCAGGGTCCCCGCACTTCCCGACGGGATCGCCGCGTAATTGCAGAGCTGGGGAAACGCTCTGGTGAAAATCCAGCCAAGCAGTTCCCCTGTTCAGCTGTCTTTCCTGCTGTCATGAGGAGCTCTGAACCTTCCTCCAGACCCAGGGCTTGTGGAAGGAGAGGTACTGGGGATTTTGCCACAGCAGCTGCTCCTTTCAGTTCCCCAGGTGGATCTGGACACTCACGGCTGCCAGTGCCTCCCTGCTGGGCCAGTGGACAGAGAGCCCTGAGCTGTGCAGGGTCGACCTGTGTCCTTGCACCTCTTTTTCCTTGCTTGCCACTGAGCATTCCGCAGTGGATCTGTGTTTCTGGGTGAGCTGGATCCCAGGATCCTGCTCTAGGCAGGAGGCTGGGGCTGTGTTGCTTTGCCATGCTCAGTGCTCAGGGTCAGTGTGACCCCCCTGCCTTGGCCTCCCCCTCATTTTCCAGGGGCATCACTGAGGGAACATGAGTCTGACGTGGATCTGATGAGGACTGTCTGTCAAACTGATAGTGAGGTTGCTGTAGGGACCTGGGAGCAGTTGGGCTCAGTTTGCTTGTGGCTGCAGGGACAAGCAGCGAGCTCTCGCTCCAGGGCTCCACAGTGGTCGATTCTCACAGTGAGAGTTTGTCCTTGCCACCAGCAAGAGAAGTTTCCAGTCCCTTCACGTGGCTTTTTTGCTCTGTCACACCCTGCAGTGCCTGGCCATAACATGCTAGAGGCCTGAGCACGAGATCTCATCACAGCAGTGGAAGCCACAGCTATGTGGCTTCTCTCCTAAAATCACATCTCTCTTCCTTAGGTGTGCCTCCGAACTGCATCAGGGCTCAGGAATGCTTTCAGGGTTTAGGGATTCCTCCAGCTGCAGATGAATGGCAAGGGACCAGAGGGCTCCTGCTGTGGTGGCATGAGCAGGAATGTTCCCCAGCTCTTGCTGGGCACTCAGCTTTCCCCTGGGAATAGAGAATTCAGTCCTCAAAGTTTTAGAGGCTAAACTGCAGCTCAATATTTAAAAGCTCCCAGATCTTCTTTGGCCTTTTCCCTCTCATAACAAAGGCCATGAGATCTTGAAAAAATGTACCTGGAGGTGATTCTTCCAGCTCCCAGTGGTGGGGAGGGTGGAAGGGACACTGTCTTCCCCAAAAAGGTACCACTTTGTCCTATTTCTCCACCACACCAAGGGGCATGTGGTGATCTGTCCTTAGGGTGCTTCAGCTCGGCTGCCCCAGGTAGAGACAAATGTTCACCCATGTAGGAGGTGTCCAAAATCAAGTGATCTGTTTAAAGATGAAATATAAAAAACAATTGGCATAAGGCATTTGTGGGAAGCCAGAAGGGGAATGACGTGGGCAGGAGTTGTGGCTGCCAGGGCTGTGCATTTGGATCCTGCTTCTCCTTGTCCCTGCTGGCCTTGGCATCCTGGGCAATGCAGGGACGTGGTGCCAGTCCCAGTCTGGCAGTGCTGCCAGCCAGTTCCACACTGGACCAGCATGACTGGAGAGCTGGGCTGGGAGCTGGAGCAGGGTGGCTGCCCCAGCCCTCTGGCACAGAGGGGCAGGGTGATGTTGTGCAGGTCCTGGCTCCTGTTACCTTCTTATGTCCTGGAGCTTCACCCTGATGAGTGCTCATCCCTCCCCTTGCCAGCCTCCAGCTGTGGTCCAGCACCAGCCCAGCTCCTCCTGGGGCTTTCCAACAGCATCCCAGGGCAGTGCCTGCAGCTTGCAGCCCCCTGAGCTCCCCCTGGCCACATGCTGCCCACAGCCAGCCCCACTCCCTGCCAGGGTGGGACCCTGCCCTCTGAAACATAAGGCAGCAGGATGCTGGTGGCTTGTGTGCCCTGGCAGTGGGCACAGCCGAGCTGCAGCCCTGCCAGCTCCCTGCCAGCTCTCTGCCAGCTCCCTGCACCCTGAGAGCAGTGCCAGCACACTCATAGAGGGTTTGTTGGAGCAGGTTCCTCTTAGCAACTACTCAGAAGTGCTTGGGATGGGATGGATGGGCTGGGGTAGGGGGAGAGGAGGAAAACCCAGACATTCAGCAGAAAGGTCAAAACTGAGCCCAGAGCACCTGGGTGCTGTGCAGGTCCTGCCCTGGTGCAGGGCTGCCTCAGAGCCAGGAACTGCCCTTAGTCCTGGCACTCTCCCTGAGGGCCCCTTCCTGAGCCTGGCCCGAGGCTGGTGCTCCTGCCAGGCTGTGCCATGGAGCTGCCCCAGGGCAGCCTCAGCCTAAAGCAGGGTGCAGGGAAGGATGAGGGACCTGGCAGCAGCTGCTGTTTCTGTTCTTCCAGCAGTCAACTTCTGCAAATGTGCTTTTTGCAGCTTCTCAGTACCCACCCCTCTCCCCCAACCTGCTGTATGCATTGTTGCTGGCAGCCTGGAACCACAGCAGCTGTTTTCCTTCAAAATTAAAAGCTGGAAATTAATTATCTTTCAAAGTAAACTTGGGATTTTGGAGGGAAAAACACAGGGGGTGAGTGTGTGCAGTGTGTGAGCCAGGAGCAGCTCACTACTGCAGCTGAGCCAGGACCATGCCAGCTGTAGGGTCATGTGCAGGTGCTGGGGACATTCCCAAGCTCTCCTGAGCTGTGGCTCTAAGGCCTGTCCTGCAGCCTCCCAGGAACTCACTGGGAGTTACCTGGGGCCACAAAAAGTACCTTCTGAAAAAGTGTCTGGGCTCGGTGCCCTGCTCATGACACCTTTCTTGTCTTGGGCTCTGCAGAGACCTCCCTGTGAGCACCTGCAGTGTGGCCAAGGGCTCAGCCACCTCCCAGAGGTTGGAGCCACAGACCCACCACGTGCCAGAGGTGGCACACAGGTGTCTTTGGAGGCTTTGGGAGAGAGGAACCCACACAATTCCTGCTGCTCCTCCCTCCCTTGCTGAGTGCTCAGACTTGCTTTTCCTCCTGCTTGTTCAGAGCCTCCTTTAGAGAAGGTCAAGTTCTAAAATAACATTTTTCTTCTGATGGTGTTAAAGCCCAGCATTCCATAGAGCTGTCGTTGCTTGGCCTGGTGCAGCCACTGTCACTGGAGCTGCAGTGCTGGCAGGGCTGGGCCTGGCTGACTTTGCATGGAGCTGCCTCATCCCCTCTTCCTCTACTGCATTCCCAGGTCTGGGAATTCCCAGCCAAATTCCCATCCCGGTGCCCAGGCACAGCTCTGTGCTGCTGCTGGTCAAAGGTGCCCAGTGTGGGCACAGTGCTGTGCCACAGGCAAGGGGCAGCCTCAGTGCTCCCTTTTCTCCTCACAGCAAGGAGCTGGAGCATGTCCAGAGACAGAAATGGGGCTGGGGAAGGGTCTGGAGCCCCAGGAGGGGCTGAGGGAGCTGGAAAGGGGCTCTGCCTGGAGAAAAGGAGGCTCAGGGGGGCCCTTGTGGCTCTGCCCTACTCCTGACAGGAGGGGACAGCCGGGGGGGGTCGGGCTCTGCTCCAGGGAACAGGGACAGGAGGAGAGGGAACGGCCTCAGGCTGGGCCAGGGGAGGTTTAGATTGGAAGTTGGGAAAATTCCTTCACAGGAAGGTCTGGGAAACATTGGCACAGACTGCCCAGGGTAGGAGTGGAGTCCCCACCCCACAGGTGTTCAAAAACGTGTGAATGTGGCACCTGGGGACATGGGCTAATATGAACATGGTGGTGCTGCAGGCTCATGATTGGAGTGGTGATCTGAAAGGTCTTTTCCCACCATAATGCTCCTGTGATTCCCTGGTTCTGAGCTGCTTGGATGGGGACCCAGCTGGGAGCCAGCGCAGAGCCTGACGTGCAGGAGCAGGTGCTGGTGCTGCTGCCAAATCCCCGGGGAGGGACAGCAGAGAGAGCCAGGTCCAGCTTTAACACAGCCTGGCCCCAGGCCTGGCTGCCTGCTCCTGCCTTCAGCCTGTTCTGATCCCACTCTGCATCCTGCAGGTGCTGCCAGCTGGGTTTGGAGGCACCTCCGGCACCGAGCCGGGCAAAGGCCCCTGCAATGCAAATATTTGCTTTCTGCCACCCATCTCACCACTTCTCTCTTTTATTTCCTTTCAAAAGCACCTTTTGTGCTGCAAGTCCTGCCTGCTCTAGTCCTCCTGGGCACTCCCTGGGCTCTGGCACATTTTGGGTGTCAAAGCTCCCCCCTTGGGAGCACTGGGAGAGAGCAGGGGGCTCCAGAAGCTGGAGTGGGGAGTTCCCTGGCATGGTAGGAATCCTCCCTCCTTGCTCTTTTGCTTTTTCTTTTCTCTTGGTTTATTAATTTCATGACAGGCCAGTTCTGCTATCTGCACCTTTTCTAATTCAGAAAGGGGAAGCAGAGGGTCGTGATTTGACCAGTCCATACCCTCTCTGCTCCCCATCTTGTCCATCAGCTGTGTCCAAGCCCCCCAAGGAAGGGCTGAACCAAATGATTTGGACCCATTTCTGGGCTGGGGGAATGCTGCCAGCTCCAGAGCCTTGTTTCTGTAGGTTTCTGTGCCACCACTGTGTGGTGGGGACAGGACAGATGCCACTGCTGGGGGTTCTCCTGCCTCCATCCCTTCTCCCTCCCTGCTGAGTCCCTTTTGCTGTGTCCCTCTAGCAGTTTTCCTGCCATGTTACATTTTTCCCCCTTCAAATGCTGCCTGACCTCAGGGAAAATCCAGCTGTGAATTTTCTGATCACATGTTGCTGCCCTGAAGGCAACAGTAATTGTTTTGGACTGAACTGTAGGGCCCTGTGGAGCCATGCACAGGTCTGGGGGTGTCCCACCTGCTCCCCAGGAAATGTCAGTGTGTGATGGGACAAACCCCCTGGATCTGGCACAAGCTGTGTTTGTCAGACGTTCCGTTCCTCCCTCCCAAATCCCTTCCCCCCTAATCACTGTGAACGGATTTGCTTTATGCAGAAGCAGCAGACAGAGTGGCTTGGCAGAAGTCCCCTGGGATGGGAGAGGGTCAGGGAGGCAGCAGGATTGAACCCCTCCTTGGCTGCAGAGCCCATCCCTGGGAGGAGCTGCTCCATTAATATCTCCCATTCATCCCTCTTCCCGTAATCCTGCGGACCGTGGCGCTCAGCAGCTGCTCTGATGTCACCCGGGCAGGATTTATTGCTGCTTCAGGTGGAGAGCAGCAGTGGGAGCAGATGAAATCTTACGCCAGGAGGAGCTTGTTCCCTAAGCAAATTGCTTGGAGAAAATCCGAGGAGACAGATGCAGCTCCATCAGATACCCACATGGCAGGCAGTGGGATCGCTGGGATCTGGAGTCTGCTGCCCTTAACCCCCACCTGCCTGGGCTCCTGCAGGCTCTGGCACCAGGAACACTCAGAGCTGTTCCTGCAGACCTTTAATCTTGGCCTTTATGGGCCTGGGCTGAGGTTGTGCTGCTGCTTCCCAGGTGTGTCCCCTTTTCCTTGGCCCCCTGGTTTTGGGGGGATGTGGGGGCACCCTGAGCTCAACCTTCCTGTGGTTATGGTGTGAAAAGTCCTGTGGTTATGGTGTGAAAAGTTCCACCAATGGGCAGTTGTGGAGCCCTCCAGGGGTCCTGTACAGGGTGCTGGGTGCCACGGCTGCTCCTTCACTCCCCTGCAGCCTTCAGCTCCCCGTACAGTCTGGGACATGCCATGGATCTGCTCCTGGCTTCCCCTGTGCCCTTGGGTGGGCAGGAGCATCCCCAGGGATGAGGTTGATTCACACACATGTACCCAGAAGCATGTGCCATTCCCAGGAGTGACTCCAGCTGTGGGGACAGATTCCCACCTGCCTGTGACCAGTGCCAGCTGTGTCAGTGCTCCCGGGTGTCCTTCCTCCCTGCCACCCTTTGCAGGGTCCCCTTGGCCATAACTCAGTGTCCCCCAGCTCTGGCCTTCCCTCCGTAGCCCCCTCCCCCTGTGGGGCTGGGGGTGGGAGAAGCACCAAGTCTCAGCCTTGTCCCTGCCTTGCCCATTCACATCCCTGCTGCTGCCCCCTCCCATCAGCCTTGGCTCCAGCCCCCAGGAGCCTCCCCATCCCAGAGGAATCCACATACCCCACCTGGGATAATTAGCAGGCATGTTGCAACTCCCCACAGTGGGTTCTGCTCCTGCTCGTGCCTTGAGGCCCCTTTGGGTGTTGTGGGAGCTGCAGAACCTGTTCAGAATGTTTTTGAGCCCAGGAGCCCTCAGGGACAGTGGTGGATGTGTGGTGGGGGTGATGCAGGGACTGCTTTTCATCTCCTTTTTATGTCTCTCTCCACAGGGAAGAATCTCTACACAAACGAATACGTAGCTATCAAATTGGTGAGTGGCTGTCAAACAGGGGAGTTCCTCCATGGTCAGGGTGGGGAATGTTCCAGCCACTGGGAAGGAGGCTTCTCTCCTATCTCCTATGGTGTTGGGCTGGGGTGTGATGGATGTGGTGGCTGGGGGGCTGTGGGGGAGCTCTGTTCCTGCTCAGAATTGAGGGCAGTCTGGGAGCACACATCACTGCAGGTGGGGTGATCCAGGTCTGGGCAGGGAAGAGGTGGGTCTTGCTTCTCCCAGCCCTCACCATGGCCTGTGCTGTGCTCAGCCAGTGCCAGCAGCAGAGAGGGTGGCCCCACTAGTGCTGCCTGGTCCCATTAATGTTTTTTCCTCTCTGGATGAGATGATCTGGCTCCCACATGGGCTGATTTTCTCTCATCATCCCCTGAGGCTTCATCTCCATTTTATACCAGTTGCTCCCAGCCCCAAATGCTCTCAGTCCAGCTTCTGCCAGCATGTGAAAGATGTGTCTGACACATGCTGGATGGAGTATGTCCACACCACCCCTGAACATCCTGCTTCCTACTTAACTGTTCTCCTTTCTCTCCTCCAAGGAACCCATAAAATCCCGGGCCCCCCAGCTGCACCTGGAGTATCGGTTCTACAAACAGCTCGGCAATGCAGGTACGGGCTGGGCTGGGCTGCCCTGGGGAGCTGCTGGGAAAGAGGCTTTCCCTAAATATGACTCTGCAACTTCACCCCCAGCTGGAGCTCCTGCCCATCTGCTCCCCAGGGAGAGGCTGGTTTTACACAGACGCCTCGTCTCATCTTTGATCTCTTTTTGATTTAGTTCTTTCCCCCACCACCCCCGCAGCAGAGTCAGGGATGCAGATGGAGCTGCCTCCTTCCCCCTGCTGCCCCGAGCAGAGCCATGCTGGCTGTGCAGGGAGGGCAGTGCGGGACATCCCCCCTCTGCAGCCCCTGTCCCTGTCTGGCAGTGGCATGGCTGTGACAGCGTGGCCGTGCTGCAGCCCTGCACAGTCCCTGCTCCATCTCTTGCAGAAGGAATTCCTCAGGTTTACTACTTTGGCCCCTGTGGGAAGTACAACGCCATGGTGTTGGAGCTGCTCGGACCCAGCCTGGAAGATCTCTTCGATCTGTGTGATCGAACCTTCACGCTCAAGACCGTCCTGATGATCGCGATCCAGCTGGTGGGCCAGGGGCTGCAGAACCCCTGCAGCCCTGCACCTCCCCTGCAGCATTGCAGTGCCCCCCTGGAGCCCTGCACGGCTGCCCTGGGGAGCAGGGGGTGTGTGGGCACCGTGGGCAGGCAGCATGAGCATCCCACGGGGAATGGGGGGAAGATGCTAGCACAACCCAGCCTGGCTCACCCATACCTCACCCCCTCCCTGCTGGGGGAGGGCTCTCCACCTTTCACAGCCCCTCTCTGAGCCTTGACAAGCATCTAAGTGTGCCCAGAGCACCTCACTGTGTGCCCAGGGTGCAGCTGGCCTGGGGCTGTGTCCCATGGTGGGAAGGAGCTGATGTGCTCGTCCTTGGGGCTGGGGCTGAGGGGAGCAGGGGCAGGGCAGGGGTGTGCAGGACACAGGGTGGGACTCAGCCCTGGCACTGACACCTCCTTTTGCCCCAGATCACACGGATGGAGTATGTCCACACCAAAAGCCTGATCTACAGAGATGTCAAGCCAGAGAACTTCCTGGTGGGGCGGCCGGGCAGCAAGCGGCAGCACACCATCCACATCATCGATTTTGGCCTGGCCAAAGAGTATATCGACCCCGAGACCAAAAAACACATCCCCTACCGAGAGCACAAGAGCCTGACAGGGACAGCACGTTACATGAGCATCAACACCCACCTGGGGAAAGGTGTGTGGGCACGGGCAGCCAGCTCTGCCTCCTGGCTGCAGGGAGGGACTGCAGGGCAGGGGTGCCAGAGGTGGGCATGGGGACAAGCTGCCTCTCCTGATCTTCAGGGTGCTGGCAGCACACATGGGGTTCTGCAGGATCTGGGGGCTGGACAGGGACAGTGGCTGTAGTGGGAACTGACCCATGTCTCTTTTTCTCCATGCAGAACAAAGCCGCAGGGACGACCTGGAAGCATTAGGGCACATGTTTATGTACTTCCTCCGTGGGAGCCTTCCTTGGCAAGGCCTCAAGGTAACTGCCAGCTCCTGCTGCCCCTGGGCATGGCTTTCTGTGGGTGTGGCTCTGCCCTGGCATGGGGAGGGGAAGGTTTGGCTCCTGGGGTGTTGGAGGGTTAGCACCCTGCCAGCTCTGAGCTCCATGCCAGACCCTTGCAGTGCTGAGCAGCTGCAGATCTCCCTGTGTCCCCCCAGCTGCTCTCACAGTGGCTGTCCTGGAAACCCTGAGGTTTGTCCTCCAGACCTGCCGGGGGAGGGAGTTTCCTGGGAAAGAGTTACTTGGGAGAGGGGGCTCAAGAAATCATACGTGGTGTGACAGCCCAGGGCAGCGCCTGGCCCCTGTGCTGACCCGCCTTGTTCCCGCCAGGCCGACACACTAAAGGAGAGGTACCAGAAGATTGGTGACACCAAAAGAGCCACCCCGGTGGAGGTGCTCTGTGAGAACTTCCCAGGTGAGAGCACTGCCCAGCCCAGCCCCCCGCCCCGAGCCCCCTGTGCCCTGTCCCCCTGAGCCCCCGTGTCCCCGCAGAGGAGATGGCCACGTACCTGCGCTACGTGCGGCGCCTGGATTTCTTCGAGAAGCCCGACTACGACTACCTGAGAAAGCTCTTCACAGACTTGTTCGAGAGGAACGGTTACGTGTTCGACTACGAATACGACTGGGCAGGGAAACCTCTGGTGAGTGCTCAGGGCTGGGGGCAGAGGGGGAGGCACCTCAGGGAGCAGGGACAGAGGGGTTAGTGGCAGCAGCCAGGGAGAAGGTGGCTCTCAGCCATCCCCGCCACACAGTGTCCAGGGGACCAGCTCCACCCTCCTCACCAGTTACAGCTCCAGGGCTGTGACATGGGAATTCGAGGCTCTTGGAGCCAAGGGGACCCCGAGCAGCTGAGCTGGCACCTCACTTTCTGCCATGGGTGCATTCCTTGGGATCGCTGCAGCCGGATACCAGGCATGGCACTGCTGGGGCAGGGGTGGGGGCAGTGATCAGGCCCCGGTTCTGGGGGGTTTGGCATGTTTGGCCAGAGGTTTGAATCTGGCTGCGGGGTGTTGGGAGGGCTTGGTGCTGCACTGACGTTGTCCTTTGTGTCCCCAGCCCACCCCCATTGGCACGATGCACAGCGAGGTGCAGGTGCAGCCCCCGAACAGAGACAAAGCACAGCCACACACCAAACATCAGGTGAGCAATGGCACGGCCTGGCTGGGGCACGGGGCCATGGGCTGGGCAGCTCACGCTGCAGCTCCAGGGACATGGGGCCAGTGGGGGTGGTGGCAGGGACTGGAACATGGTTTACCCTCAGCGCTGTCTGTGGGAGGAGTTCCCTCCCACAGCTCTGGGTCTGTGGCTTGCTGGGGCCCAGGGCAGTGTCCCTGTGGCCTGGCAGAAGAGGGAGGAAGTGCTGTGGGGGCTGTAGTGTGACTAGGGGGTGCCAGGCCTGGACATCAGCTGATGAGCAGGGTCCAGCCTGGGGTGTGCGGGAGGGCTTGGTGCAGGCTGAGCCACCTCTGCTAAGGACCCTGTCCCCATGGGGTGACTTGCTGCTCTGCTTGTGATGCCCTTCCATCGATGGGACAGTGACATGAGACAAGGGAGGGCAGGACTGGGGGGCAGCTTGGCAGCATTTTGCCCCATTCTGGGGCTGTCTTTGTTCTGGGAATGGGCAGGGCACAGCGAGCCCAGCCCAGGGTAGGGATGAGGCAGAGCTGTGTGGGAAAGGGGCCAGGCTGCTGAGAACTGCTCCAGTGCTGTGGCCTGTCCTGCCCTGGTGCAGGAAAGGTGTCTCTGGCACTGCTGCCACCGAGAGCAAACCTCATGTGTTTCCCAGCAGTCCTGTACAAACCCTTGTCCTCCCACACCTCCTTGGGGGCAGAGCACCTGCAAAGGGGCTGGAGCAGGGGGTGCAGCACCCTGTCCTCCCCATGCTGCTCCTGCCCAGCACAGGGAGCCTGGCACTCACCTGCTCTCACTGGCAGAGCTTTCTTAGGGAGAGGGAAACATCTTCAAATCACCTCCGGCTCATTTCTGGGAGCTCGCTCCCAGTAAGGTCTGCTCTGTGCCCCCAGCACCAGGGAAGTGCCGTGCTGGACATCCCTTCTCCAGAGCAGGGGGAAGAGCAAAGCACAGCGCTCCTGGAGCATGGGAGCAGCGTCCAGCCTGGGGACACAGGGTGTCCCCACAGCTCTGGGGCCGTGCTGTGCTCACTGGGGGAGGGTTTGGCCCAGCTGGTGCCACACAGGCCCTGCCGAGCCCTGCGTCGTCCTGGGGATGCGGCGTCACCTGGGCCTGGCTGCAGCTCCGGCTCTGCTGGCCCAGCCCACTCCCAAACACGGCCACCAGCCCTGCTGGAGCTGGCCCTGCTCCAGGGGCTGTGTGGGGCTGGCCGTGGGGGTGTGTGTGTAGGTGGCAGGGGGACACAGACCCCCGTTGTCACCACAGGGACCGCTCTGGGAGCCTCTGGGACGGTGCTGCACGGGTGCCCTCCGCAATCACCAACTCGAGCTGCTCCGGTCATGTTTTTGCTTTTGCATGTCTTATTTTCTCAACTCCCTTTGCCACTTTTCCCACCCCTTCCCTCCACTTCTCCCTTCTCTTCCCCATTCTCCCTCTTTTCTTTTGTTTCTTTTCATTCTGTTCCTCCTGCCTGTCGCGAGCAGCCGCCCGAGGGGACGGAGTTGTGGGATCCTCAGGCCGGTGGGCAGCCTGCCGAGGAGCCTTTGGGAGCTCACCTGGCAGCCGGCAGGCTCGGGGGGTCCGTCCAGGTACACGAAACCACGCGCCTGGGGCAGGGGCGGGCAAGGGAGGGAGCGGAGCCACCCTGGGCCGCGTGGCCGCCCGCGGAGCCGGGATCAGCCCCGCTCCCCCGCCCCGGGGCCACACATCCCGGGGTCCTGCCCCAGCTGCAGCACGTACTGCCTGTCCCTGTGGTGTGAGGGGACGCTCACGGCTCGCAGACGAGGCTGGTGCTGCTTCCCGGGGACTGCTGGGCTCCCTTGGTGCTGCCAGGGGGAATTAGAAGGTGGTTGGAGATGGATGGAGGGATGCATGGATGATGGATGGGTGGATGGGTGGATAGATGGATGGACGGACATGGATGGATGGATGGATGGATGGATGGATGGATGGATGGATGGATGGATGGATGGCAGGCACACTGCAGCACAGCAGCTGGGTGGGCATCGCTCTGCCCCCAGTGCCACTCGTCTGAGCAGGGACTTCCCTGGGCCTCCTTGTCTGGAGCCCTGGCTCCAAGCCCTGCTTCTCCTCCCTCCCTGGGCACTCCTTGGCCGTGTCCCCTGCCATGGCCCTGCCTCGGTCCTGTGCTGGCGCCGTCAGCCCCGTGCTCGCCGCCCTCGCCGCCTCCTGCCCGCTGCCGCTCAGCCCTGCCTTGGCCTGGGGGTCCCTCCCTCATGGATGGTGGGACATCCATGCCGGGTCCCCTGGCTGGGCCTGCGCCGCTTCCTCTGTCTCTGCTTCTGTCCCCGCCGCTCTTGCTCGTTCCTGCTGCTCCACAGTGACTCTGCTGGTGCTCGGCCCCAGGCTTGGGCACAGCTCCTGCTGTTGCTGTCACGGGGCCGGGCACTCCGTGGTGCCAGGCAGGCCGTGGGGCCGGGTACTCCGAGGGCCCAGCTCATGCTCTGCCTCGCTCCTCCTGTCCCTGATGCCCTTCCTCCTCCCCACTCCTGCTCTGCAAACCCTCCTGCCGCGCTCCGCCTGTGCCCGGCGCTGCGGGGTGATGCGCAGGGGTCTCTGTGCTGGTGTCAGGGGCTGGAGCCTGACGTGGCCCTGCTGGCTGGGCACTGGCTGTCGGGTGGCAGCTTCTCCAAGGGCTGGGGAAGGCCAAGGGTCCTTGCCGGGGCCAAGCAGCTTGGAGAGTGTTTGGCCTGTGCATCCCCAGGGAGCTCCTGGCTTTGCCTGTGGGCAGCAGGCACAGGATGGCGATTCAGGCACCTCCCAGTTGCCTTGGAGGCTTGGATGTCCTCCTGGCTCTGGCACTGTGGCTGACCCTACTGCCCTGGTGAGTGGGCAGGAGCTCAGGGATGCCTGAGCCCGCAGGGTAGGCACTGGGCTGAGTCTTGGTGCTAGGAAGCAGAAGTTGTGTCCAGATGCTCAGCAGTGGGAAGGGCTCTTTGGAGCTGTCAGCTTTCCCAGGCCCTGTCTCTCACCCACGCTGGAGCTGGCTGCCAGCAAACTGCTCTCCTGGTGCAGGAGCTCCCAGGAGCTGGGATCCTTCCAGGGGCGTTCTGAGGGGCTCAGAGCTCTCTGTGCAATGGGGCTCTTCGGGAGAGCTCAGCACCGAGGCCGAGCACTGTGGTCTGGGTGAGGGCACCATCCTGCCACAAAGGGCACCTCGGTGCTCCTGGGCAGAGTTAGGTGGTCTCCTGGGTGGCTCCTATGCCCCTCAGGGAGGGGAAGGGCTGCAGACCCCTGGGCTGTCCCCACTGACACTCATCTCTCCCCAGGTGATGAGCTCCACCAACGGAGAGCTGAACACAGATGACCCGACGGCAGGACATTCGAACGCCCCCATCACAGCCCCCACCGAGGTGGAGGTGACAGACGATACAAAGTAAGGCCCCAGCCCTGCTGCCCCCTCGCCAGTGCTGGGCTGGAGGAGGAGTCAGCAGCTGCCCCAGGATGCCTTGTCCAGTGCCCTCCGGGGAGCAACAGCCCAGCTGTCCCCTGCCACCCCATGAGGGGTGTCCCTGCAGGGCCGCCACCACTGGAGGAGGAGTCAGCAGCTGCCCCAGGATGCCTTGTCCAGTGCCCTCCGGGGAGCCAACAGCCCAGCTGTCCCCTGCCACGCCATGAGGGGTGTCCCTGCAGGGCCACCACCGCCCCAGCCCTTCCCATCTCGCCCTGCCCAAGGCTCCTGCACAGAGGAGCATGGATGGATCTGGGACTGCTCCTTCTCTGGAGTCCCTGCCTGGTCCTGGCTCATGGCCTTGTGGCCACAGTCAGTGTCACTCCCCTGGTCGGTGCCATTTGCTGTGGCAGGTGTCACTTTAGGTGGCAGTTGTGGTGCTCCCAGTCCAGCCCCTGCCGTGTACCAGGGGCACTTGGTGGAGCAGCTCTGCCCGCGTGGGGCTCACCGAGGCACCGAGGGGTTTCTGTCCTCCCTGACCTCGGGGCTGCTGCACCCTCCGTGCCGTGGCCCCGGGGCTGACGCGTCCCCTCTGTCCCCAGGTGCTGCTGTTTCTTCAAGAGAAGGAAGAGGAAAACCACCAAGCGTCGCAAGTGAGCTGCCGGGCCGGGCGGAGCGGCGAGCGCTGGCTCCTCTCCCTCTGGCCGTGGCTGGATCCTGCCCCGCGGAGCCAACGGCCCCTCGGGCTGGACGGGGACGGGGGGGCCGGGCCGGACGGGCTCCCCCAGCGCCCCACGCGCAGCTGGGGAGCGGGGCCTCCCCAAACTGCTTGTCCTTTCCTCCGCCACTCGTGGCCGTTTACTCGAACCAAGCCCAACTTCGCTGAAGTTCCTGCGTCCGTCAAACAGAAAAAAAGAAGAAGAGAAAAAACCCACGGCGTCACTTGCTTTGAGTTTATAACCAGTCTGAAATGGGGATCAACTACAGACTCTGACCCGTCGCTGTCAGAAGAAGACGAAGACAATTTCAAGAGCAGTGGGCTAAGGAGGAATATTTTTTTTTTCTGTTGCTTCTTTGTCTCTTAAGTTAATTTAAAGTGAGTCTCGGTGCAGAGTGCTGAGTCGTCAGTCTTTGACCGTCATCTTCAGTGTTACCGAATTCTGCTCTTCCTTCCGGCCCCGCCCCGCGTCCCCGCCGGGTCCCCCTCGGTCGGGCCGTTGGTGGCGGGCGTTGGGCTCGGTCCGGCCCCGCTCGGGCGGGGAGAGCCGGGGGCGCGCGGGGCGGGGAGAGGAAACGCGTTTACAGTTCATTTACGATGCACTTTTGCGAGCAATACAGGCGCCGTCCGGTCCCGCCGAGAGCAGGTCCGAGACTCCCAGGGGCTGGGGGACACAGGGACAGGGACGGCCGAGACCAAAGGGACCCATGAATGGCGGTGGCAAAGCAGGGAGGGGAAGCAAAGCAGCCTCGTCTCTGGTGCTGCCATGTCTTGGGGCTGGATGTTTCCGCAACAGCTGCAGGTGTGGGCAGGGCTTGATCGGCCTCTTGCTTTTACAGCCTGAGCCCCCCGAGGCCCCGCGGCTGCTCCCGGGGCCGGGGCTGGGGGCCGGGCCGGGCGGTGAAGGGCGTCGGGGTGGAGCGGCTCTGCCAGCGTGGAATCCCCCACCATGGCATCCCCCGCTCTGGGATCCTCCCGGCCCCTCCTGGGGCTGGGGGAAATGCAGGTTTTGGAACTGACGCACGGACACCCCCGCACCCCCGTGTTCCTCGCACCCCAGGGCACTGCAGCTCCCCACGTGACTGACCCCGTGCGCTGTCGTGTGTATTGATCGTGACACATTGGGGGGGGACACACACTTAACTTTACCAAAACCCTGTTGTTCTGCCCCAAGAGAAGGGGCTGAGGCTGTGCTGGGGGGGCGGGGGAGGGATGGGACCATCTGTGGCTGCTTTGAAACATTTGTCCAAACTGACCATCTCGGGGGGCTGGAGACCCCGGATTGTGGAGGGGCTGGGAGGCCTGGGGTCTCCCACGGGGCCGTGCCCTCCCCACGGTCCCTCTTCATCCTAAATTCGGGATTGACCCCGACTTTGGTTTGTCCTGGCTGCGGCCCCAGCTGCTGCTGCGTCCTTGGCCAGTCGGGAAGGGGACGTGCAACGTTTGACCTCGTGTCCCCAGCGAGGCGAACAAACGAATTTTAAAAATCGCCTTAAAATTTTCACTGGAAGTGGTCCCTTGTCAGCGCGTCGGCTCAGAGCAGCCCCGGCAGAGGCCGAAGAGGAGCCGCGGAGGGGAAGGGAAAGCGGCCCGAGGGTGAGCCCGGAGCGCCCGGCTCTGTACGCACACCCGGGGCCGGCCCGAGCCCGGGACTCTCTGTCCTTCCAGCGAGGAGTCCAAATACTGCGATTGTACGTGAGAGCGTTTGTTCCATTGCGAGTTTAGTTACTGCTTTAAAACCAAGTGTACAGGTATGGCATTTCAATTTCTCTGATGCTTCCTGGAAGCCATAGAATTTAGGGGCTTTTTTTTAATAAAAAACAAAAAAAATAAAATAAAAAAAAATCTTTAAAACCCAACACATTCTTCTGTGCTTCACTGTGTGGCTCCCAAGGGTGAGGACATTGCCCAAGCACCCCCTCAGCAGTGGGTGGGAGCAGCCCCAGCCCCTCGCAGGCGCTCCCTGCCCGGGAGCCTTTCCTGAAGCAGCAGGAGGAAAACCTCTGGGGGACAGGTCAGAGGAACAGCAGCACAGCTGGGCAGACCTCCCAGGCTCCCGGCAGGTGCTCCTGCAAAGCCACCCAGGCTTTTTATTCCTCGAGTGAGTGAGGAAGGTGACAGTGCAGGAGGGTAATTCCCAGCTGAGCCCAGTGGTCCAGCAGGGAGCCAGGCTGGGCTGGGCTCCCCCTGCTCCAGGCACTGCAGGGCCCCGAGGCTGAGCTCCAGCACAGCCTGGAGCCCTGGGAAGCTGCCCCTGGCCCTGGCAGTGCTCCCTCGGGCAAAGGGCAGGGCCCCGGTGAGCAACCGTGGGAGCCGTGCTGGGCACAGGAGCAGAGCCCAGCTCTCATCCCTGCTCCAGCAGCCCCCACAGCCCCTCTGTGCTGGCAATCACAGGCCAGAGGATCTGCCTCCCCCCCAAGCCTGGACTCCCAAAGGCCGAGGCAGCTTTTGTGCATTTCATTGTCAGAAACCTCCAATTCAGGTTTAAGAAATTCAGTCATAAAGTGACATCACCCAGACCAGAGTGTGCCCAGCCTGTGCCATCCTGCTGCCCTCCCACCACCACCTCCCACCCTGAGGGTCTGGACTCCCCAGCAGTGATTGCCAGCTTCAGGAGGCCCGAGGATCTGGCTCATCCCACGCCCCATGGATGGGAAGCTGAGGACCCCCCACCTTCAGCTGGGGGAGACGGGCCAGGAGCCAGCTTGGCCAAGATCTCCCCTCCACCGTTCCAGCGGCCACGATTCTCCCCCCATCACAAAGAAACTTCATAAAGACAACCTCGATGTCTTTATTGTTTTCCTATTTACAAATCACAAAGCTGGCCAAAAAGCAGAGTGTGAACACGGGACGAGAGCATCGGATACATTCATCAAATAGCACAGGAGCCGGGCCGGGCCCGCTCTGCTGGAAGGTGACGTGGTACAACAGAATGGCTCATACTTCTGGGAACAGGCATGTCCAACAAGGAATTACATTCATCTATCTACAAAAGCCAGAATTGCATCAAACTGCAGAAAAGCCTTAAGAACAGAAGTTGCTCAGGTGTAGTTCAGAGTTTGATTCCTCTCCCTCTGTGACAGGACAAGCTGCCAGATCTGCCCTGCACAGGGAGGGCAGGAAGGTGGGATTTGGGACGGGATTTTGCGTAACAAAATAATAATGAGAACGGAACTTCCAGGGAACAGCCAGCGGGAGGCTCCCCCTGCAGCTGGGCAGGGCCAGCCCCAGCCCTGCTCTTCCCAGAGCCAAGTGCACAGCTCTGCTTCTCTCAAATTCCAATTATTCCACTATTTCTACCTGTACCCGACACCCCGAGGTGCAGAACCCAGACCAGAGGCCCTGGGGAAGGTGCAGCCCCAGCACAGGCCCTGGCTGCCAGCAGTGACATTCCCACTCCCTTGGGAGAGGGGTGGTGACAGGAGCAGGCACAGTCACAGACAGCCCGACAACACGGAGCCTGGGCTGTGACTCCATCTCACACACAGCACTGTTTGCATTGCACAGAGTCAGGTTCAGTCACCAGGTCATGGACCCAGAGTTGGGATTTTTTTCTATTTTTTTAGTACTGGCCATATTAAAACCATCCCACGTGGAAGCAGGCTGGCAATACACAGCTCACACCATCTCCCTGGAGCACAGAACACACTCTGGGCACCTTTAACAGCTACTGGGGAGGAGATGCAGGGCATTCCCAGGCTGCTGCTGCACGGCTGAGGAGGAGACTCCAGCCAGCACAGCCCCAGGATCCTGGCTGGGGCAGCAGGAGGAGGAGGAGAAGCTGTGCTCCAGCCAAGGACAGCCAGGTTTCAACTTCCAGCAGTGAAATCCAGTGGCAGCAGCTGCCCAGAGTGGCAGTGGTTCCGTGTGCTGGAGCAGGAGGTTGGAGAAGGGGCCCTGAGGCAGCACCACCCCAGCCAGTCCCACGCAGACTCCGGTGGCTCTGGTCTTTCTGCCAGGTTGAGATTAATTCCAGCTTCCTCTGCAGAGGAGGGGATGAAGAGTCTCATGGTCTTCACTCGTGGGCAGTGAGGTGGGGCTGGTCAGGCAGCCCAGGACCAGCCACCCTCTCTGTGACAGCCACGGGGAAAAGCAGCTGGCACTGAACAAGGGGTATCTTCAAGGTCACCCAGCTCCACAGCTCAACAGGTGATGTTTGTGATCTCCCTCCTGTGCCTGGCCAACAGGCAGTGTGCAAACACACACCAGCACAGAGAATATTCCACCTTTTCCTGAACCATTTGGTAACTCCTTGTCCATCTGCTGCATTATAGGTAACAGGCAGGTGCACATCCAGCCTCTCTTCCTGCTTCCATCAGGGCAGCAGGGACGAGGCAGAAATGCACAGGAACAAAGGGAAACACATGGAAACGTGCATGGAAACTGCAGGAATGCCCAGGAACAGGTGAGGCAGGTGCCCTTCTGCTTCAACTGACAAACCCTGGCACTCTGCAAAGGACAACAACCGGTAACAACAGAGCTGGGGCTGCTCAGGGGTGAGCTGAGCATCACCGGCGCTTGGGATGTGCCAGGGGTGTGGAAGCAGCACCACGGGGACTCAGAATGCAGGAGGAGCTGCCCAGCCAGGCTGCTGCCCCTCACCCTCTGCAGGGAGGTCACCTCGCTGCCACGACTGCCCGAGGTGAAGATTGTCACAGATCGGTGGGAAGAGCAGAAAAATGCCTCAGTCCCGCCACAGGAGCTCAGCTTTGAGGTCTCCAAGCCTGTGTAGTGCTGGAACAGCAAAGCCTCAGGGAAAAGGCCACTTTCCATGACTTTTGAAGGTGGCTCTGCGTGCTGAGGCTGCTGGGAGGGAGGGAAGGTGCTGGACACAGGCTGGCCAAGCCCTGCAGCCTGGCCTGGACTGCTGAGCTGGAGCAGAGCAGAGGCCACCCAGCCCTGACCGAGTCTGCCTGCAGGACCATCTCCTCATGGCAAGTGAAGCCACAACCAGAGCCACTCGTTGCCTTGTTTCTGACTGGTGGAAAAGCATCTACATTCATTACAGTCCAAAAAACGCACGTTGTTACATAGGGTTAATCAGGAGGTGAAAAACAACAAGCCACAGACAACCTACAAATGGTACTGGGACACCAGCTGGGCTGCACTGGGACACCAGCTGGCCTGGCACCTGAGAGCAGCAGCAGCACTAGCACAAGGCAGAACATGAGCTTTGAAATGATTTCACTGTGACCTTTGGCTAGTGTGGCTCCAATTGGTGTGGTCAAACTCAGCCAGAGATTTAGTTTGGGAGGCGACAGGGAAGAGTCGAGTCCAGGGCGGGCTGGGCAGTGGCACTATGTGTAGAAGATGATCTCTGGGATTTGTCCATCCTCCACGGAGGTGCCGTTGTTGTTCCCAGCCGCGTAACAGAACGTAAAGCAGGTTTTGGC